ATGTCGTTCACAACAAGGTTTTTCTGAGGCATCCTCCTCCACGCGGTGCTTAGCGATTCATCAGTGGACGCTGGTAAAAAGACGCGTACGAAGTCTTCCCCGAATACGTCTTGTAATTTAGGGTCACCACAGTAAACCATTGGGTCACGCGCAACAGAGCCCGTTGAGCATCAAGGTGAACCTGCGAAGGCCGTAGACTCGCAGCGCTCCCGCACAGAAAAACGCGCATGCTTTTCTTCCAAAAAAAAAATGAAAAGAAGAAGAAAAGGCGCGCGAATTCAGTCTGGCAGTGGTTCATCAAACCCACTAACGTTCCGATGTCGTGGTGTACGTACACCTGTCGTACAGCTCTCTCAAATCGTGTGGCCCGAGCACGTGTTTTTTTGTTGTGTCTAACTTGAAAGGGCTTTCTTGCAATGAGACGCTATATCCCATCTCACAAACATCTGCAGTACTGGCAGGGGCACGGGCCTAACGCCATTCAAGATAGCGACGACGCGAAGAAATCGTGCATACCGGGAGGAAATATGTGAGGGTGGTCAGAGAGGATTACGTTGCTCTTGGAAACTTGCCTTCACCGGATATTTGTGCACACAGTTCACTGGATTCTAGGAGAGTAGCGCCATTGCCTTCCCTGCCTGCTAACCGGATAACAATAGATCTGATTGATTGAGTAGACGTTCATTGAACTTTCCGGTGAAAGTGGGCCAGAAGTTCGCAAGTTTAGTGAACGATGACTAGGTGGGACATTGGCGATTTATATACTATGGTATAGCTGTGGTCCCGCCGTGCGGCGAATGACCCTCTTAAATTGTCTGCAGGTCCAGCCCGGTCTCGCTCAGGTATCTAAGCAGGCCGGACAGGACCGCGAGGCGCTTGTCCTTTTCCCCCTCAGGGCGACACCAGGCTTTGAAGCACAGGGGGTGGTGTTGTTGTCTTAGCGCGTCCTGGGCTTTCTTCTTCTCCTGGTCAAAGCTTGGGCAGTCCCATACGATGGGCCGTTCATCCCACTCTATATCGTAATTCCTGCAGTAGACGCAGCCCTTGGAACAGTTTTGTTTCTCGTCGTTGTTTCCGAGTTAGCAGGCTGTAATTGGGATCTTCTACAGCCGCAACCCCGTCGACGGTAGCCCTCCTCGCGCGCGCCGCCGGAAGTTTGGTTCGGGTCGCGTAAGCGTTGTTCCAGTTGAAGTGTTAGAAGAAATCTATCTGACTGGCGGCGTGTGCCTTGACTTTGATCATGAGCGCCCTCACGGCGGCCTGGGAGTCCGTGAAGACGCGTATTTTCCGAAATCCTTCGCTCGATGACGGGGTTATGTCCTCGGTGCCCTCGAGTACGGCTCTGACTTCAGCTTCCTGCACGGACCCGCAATGCTGCAGCGCCTTGCTCTTGGTTTCTTTCCCGTATTGCCACGTCACCGTGGCCGCTACTCCACCTCGAAAGCGTGGCCGTCGTACACTCGAAGCTCGTCGCCACCACCATCGCTCTGTTCGTGCCGCCTTGAAAACTTGCGCTTTTTGCCGGCATTGATCGTCAAGTTCGTCCTCATCGTCATTGGCGTGGCCGGGGTGACCGTCGTCTTTTGCCATGGTGGGATGGGGTCCGGAATCGGTGACATCGTTGTCTGAACGAGCAGAGAGCTCCAAGGCGACATGAGTGCTGCCAGGGTGTGGGCCAGCTTGCCACCGTACATCCGCTCCTGGTTTCTTTCAATCTCTTCCGGAGAAAGCATCGGAAAGGCTTCGTGCAGTAGGTTCAGGCCTGTGCACCTTGGCAGACACCAGATGCAGCGTCTCACGTCGTTCATCAGTGTTTCCAGTTTGGCCAGCTGAGCGGCGTGGAGTCTATGAAAACGCAGGCCGTAGGCCGTAAGAGATCTTGGATACCATGGTGACTTGGAAAAAGGGTCCTCGCAAACCCCTCTCCCAGACCCCCAGCCCGCTTTGCCAGGCGTCGGATGATTGAGAGCCCCTTCTTTCAGGCATTCGCCCGATCCAGCCGGTCGGGTCGCCGCGCGAGTAGAAACTCACCCCTAGGATATAGAGCTCGGCCACCTTGTCGATCTTCTGGCCGTCAAAGCGCAGGTTCGCATTGATGTTCTTCCATTCCTTCCAAAGGCCATGTACCTGGTCTTCTCGGGCAACGGGCGCAGGCCGGTGTCCTTGAGAAAGTCGTTCTTTATGTCGAGTGCCCGTTGAATTGACTTCTCGGGAGGGTGCGCGTTTTCGCTCCCCATAGTCCACACGGTGATGTCGCCCGCGTAGACTGTGACTACCCAGTCCGGAGCGACGGCGAGCCGCCAGAAGAGTGGTGCCATCACCAGGTTAAAGAGCGTCGGCAACAACATGCACTGCCCCCAGTGGAACGTCAATCTCGTTCGTCTCCTCCGCACTGCCATGGTGCCTGCCAGTCTTGACCAGAGATTTACGCCTACTCGGAAAGCCTTGACGAAGTTCAGGGGCCTGCAGTAAACGCCTAGTGTGCGGGCCGTGTCGATGGCCCTGACGTGAGGCAGGGTATCGAAAGCTTTCCTGACGTCCACTGCCACCAAAAGGTGGCGGCGGCACTGCGTTTATCGGTTGGCTAAGTACTCAAAAATTAGGCCCATGCTGTTCTGCATGCCGAGGTTCTTTCGGTATCACGTCTGAGCGGGATGCAACACTTCTCTCCTTTGCTCAACGATCCAGTCGATGCGCGCGAGCGCCAAGCGCTCCATTAGTTTGCATGGGATGGAAGTGAGCAAAATGGGGCGCACGTTACTCGCGCAATCTGTCTTCTTCCCTGGTTTGGAGATAGGGCACACCCAGGAGAGTTTCCAACGATCTAGGATGTTGGCCTCGTGCCAGGCGTCGTTGATCAGTTTCACCAACATTCGCTTGGCCGCCTCCGGGAGGTTTTTGAACATGGCGTTAGGGATCCCGTCGGGACCCGCTGCGCTCCGTTCGTTGCCCTGCTCAATGGCTGCTTCCATTTCCCACAGTTTAAAATCCACTTCGTACTCTTCGTTTTCTAATTCTTCTGGCCCGTAAATCTTTGAGTCCGGTCTAGTGACCGGCTGCGGAAACAAGATGTCCCCGACGTCGTTCAGTATTGTCTTGACGTTCTTGTCTTGCACCAAGGCTAAGTTCGGCGCCACGCTGTTCCTCCTTGCTCTTGCTCATCATCGCGTTGCAGGCGGTTCACATCCGTCTGAGCGACGTCCCTTCATTGAACCCGTCGCAGACCTTGGCCCAGTCGTCCCTGCACAGCCTGATGGCGTGCCACTGCGCTTTCTTTGCGAACTTCTTGGCCTTACGGATGTCCCGTCGCTTGCGGGTGAGGCGGTAGCGCTGCAGATAATTGGTGCTCTTGCTCCACAAAGACAGTATCTTGGTGTCCAGGGTGGGTGGTCCATCCTCGACAACGGTCTCGACCGTGGCCGCCTTGACCACGTCCCTCGCCAGTCACATTGTCAGCTCCTTAAATCCCGTGCCCGCGGGGTTCTCGAGTGCAGCGTGAAAGTCGTCCCATACTGTGCTTTTTGCCGTCCGCCGCTTCTTGCGTCGCTTGGTCTTGCCGACGATCGACGTCTCCATAACGTGGTGGTGTCTGCCCACGTGTCCTCGTTGTTGGAACCAAAACTTCTTCCGACAGGATCAGGCAGGGCCAGGCCAGGACAGAACGGGAGGGCGACTCCAGGCAGGAACATCAGGAAACTGGAGGGTGCTCTCGGGCAATGAAAATACTTCTGTAAATATGTAATAAACAGAGTGTATCGTAAGACAACCCCTCCCCGTCTCCTGATGTTCCTTTCTGGAGTCGTCCTTCGGTTCCTGTCCTGGCCTGGCCCTGCCTCATCCTGCCCGGAGAAATCCTCGGTCGCAACATTGTGAACGTTCCACTTGGTCTTCTTCGCGGTGTGCGAGTCGGTCCAAGTCAGGTCGGGTGTGGTGTCGTTTTGGTTGCCACTGGACGTGGTCCTCGTCTTAGCGCCCGGTTGGTTGATTAGGACGAGCCCCGTCTTGCTGGCCTACTTAGCACTCGCCGCTAATACACCGACGTCATCAGGATTGAACCGTCGCACTCGCTTTCCACCAAGATAGCCACCACCTCTTGCGATTCGATGAACCACTCCCGCGTGTCCGGTTGTTGTTGCGGAAAGTCCTTGCAAACCAAGACTGCGGCTTACGGTTACACAGTGGTCTTGCCTCCAACGGTTAGCGTCACGCTCGGTTTGTCATACTTGGCAAACCCGGACATTCTGATTTTGGGTCTCAGGCGTTTCCTGGAGGATGACGACGTCCATGTATGTCTTCGCCCGTTGTGTCGTAACTTGAGTTCGGAATTTTTGCCGCGCAGCCCTCGGCAGTTCCACTGGAGGTTGGTAAACTTCTTATCATCTTTGAGAGTAATAATTCCTCGAAGGGGAACAAAGAAGACAAAGGACAGACACAAATCTCCAAACTCAGCTAGGTGACTGATGCGCGACCGAAAAAAATCCGCCTAGTCCTGGTATCGAACCAGGTACCTCTCCAATTACAGTGGAGTGCTCTACCAACTGAACGAACCTGGAACTAGACGTCAGTAGAGCGAACGGGTTTTATCAACTATGTTAAATTAGTGGCAGAAACTTTGGAAGAGCACGCTCTCATTTTCTTTCACCGTGTTTTGGCTGTACGTGCAAGCTCGCGGCTCACAAGGTGCCCAAGCACTATTGAAGAAAGAAGAAGAATTGATGCTCTAGCTCCAGCTCCAGCTTGTACTGGAGCTAGAGCTGGGAACTCCTCCCCGCTATTCTCGCCTTCGAGCGCACGCAGTTGCATGATTGTGGTGTTATTCTTTTTCTTTTTTTTTCAATGAAGGATGCATATTATCAAAAAAATGTCAACACGCGCACGCCATACGTTCCTCGAGCGCTGATCAAGCACGCGCCGATCATCGAGGAACGAAGAAGAAACCATCTAGCGACACTTCGTTCCTGTTCTCTTCATGGTGCAACCGTTCACCCTCATCGTCCGCGATGAGAGCTTTCTGGATACTCCTGACCACTGGCGTCCTGGGGCTCTCTACGTCAGTGTTCGAGGCTTCTCCCACGAGCTACCTGAGCTCAAGGCGACAAGATCCCTCCTTCATGGAGACGCGTCGAGGGATCACCCGCTGGTTCCGTCGATACATTGACGCCGAACGAGAACGCTTGCGTTCCATCCGACGTCGCCTCGATGTCCTTGACGTTGCCCGACGTTCCGCAGAGGGCGTGGACCCGGAAGAGTACCTAGGACTGCCCATGAACGCGTTTCTCCTGATCAAACGACTCGCTAAGGACTACGTCGAAGTTCTGCAGGACGCCAAGGACGAAACCAACACCAGACTTCTCATGGACATGAGGCCTGGTGGAAAGCGGGGAAAGCGATTCCGGTTCCCGAAGCCCAAAGACATTGCGAGGGCTGCGCAAGGCGTCTTAGAGTACCATAAAGGCCACGCTTACTCGGCAAAAGACATCGCTGCCGGACTCACGGTGGGGCCTGAATCCAAGATGCGTAACATTGAAATGAAGGCTCTGGATTGCTTCCTAATAGGGGTGAGGGCGTACGAGGTCAACGATACGATTACCTCTCGGGAGTGGATGGAGGAGGCCCTGGAACGTTCGGACGATCGCACAGCGGACGTTTCACGCGTGAACGAGTATCTCGCTTACTTCAGTTTCTTGGACGGTGACTTGGACCTAGCCTTGAAGATTACTGACGAAATACTCGATCACAATCCGGAAAACGTGAAGGCGTTCTTGAACCTGGAATACTACCAGACTGCTGGGATTACGCTCAACAAGCCGGTTGCGACTCCTCTTCAATTTTCGAGTTTTAGACTGAAGCGAACGTACGAGCCTTCGTGCAGGGTCGTCGGCCCCGTCAACACGTACCGTGACGGTGTGAGACGCGAGGACATCTCCAAAGATCCGCTGATGACGGCCTACAGGGGCATTTTGAACGAAAGGGAAACTTCAACTTTGCTGAATTGGTTCAGCCACGGAGACGAGACTTATAGGGGCGCGGCGATCAAAGCTTTGTCCCAGCTATCCAGGACATTGGAAAGCCTGGTTGGACTCAAGATGACCGATTCTGTGATAGAATGGAAGGTACTGACCGCCTTCTGCGACTCCAGTACCTGGTTGAGTCCGGGACACCAACTTCGTGTCAAGCCTCTGGCGACTTGGTGGGTGTTCCTCGGAAACGAAAGCACCTACTACAACTATATGGACGTAATAACGTCCAACATTGACGTTTCCGCGACAACATCATTGTTCCGGTGAGTGCTAAATAGTATGAATAAGGCAAGTTTGGCTAGCTGGTTTTACATTCTTCAATTAAAACACGTAAATACACGGACAAGAAAATTAATGCTAACAGGACACGGCGTACTTCCAAGTGAACTTCTACATTGACAGCGCACTAGCAAAAAAAAAAAAAAACAACAAACATAAAACGTATAGCATAAAAAAATAAGAGGTCACGCCCTCTAACGCATGTCTTGCTCGTTGGTGATATACGCAAACTCCTTATCAGAGAGCACCAGTGAAGAGGCGCTGACAGAGACATCGCTGATAGAATAAGAGAGAACTCTGCCACTACTAGACAGTCCCCATCTGTTCATTTGGCAGTGTATTGTGACCGCTCTAAACGCAAACCAAAGTAAAAAAAAACTAGAGAAAATAAACAAAAAGTTTTGAGCAAAATTTATGAATCTTCCCTGATTAAATTGCACAATAACAATGTCTGCGTTTGCGCCCCTCCGCAGGCGCCCTCCGATAAGGAGTTTACGTATATCCACAATGAGCAAGTCATGCTTCGGGGGTAGTAGCCTTTTTTATCTTTACTGTTTTTTAGCGGATACGTTTTATGTTTTTGCTGTTTCGTTTCCGGGTTTACATCACAAACAAAATGTATTTATGTTCGCAATAGCTCCCTTGTCAGAGCACCTAAAATATATTTTCTTCAAACACACACAAAAAGAAAAGAACAAATTTACCACCGTGAATAACGTTTATGTACACAAAGAATAATTTTATGCCCACGGCAACTGCATCTTGCAGCTAGATTAAGTGGATGTGCAAGAACAAAAAAATATATATATTCCAGTCACAGAATGCCTAAGGCGGCGTGGGTTACTTAATTCAAGGAGATTAGGAACGTTCCTTTTCTGAACTAGAACTGTGATGTTAACTGGGCGCAACGTGTACATCTGGAATTTAATACTGTTACGCATTCGCAATTTTCAGTGATAGTGTTGTTGTGAGCGTTGAAGGAGTCAATAGTGTATTCACTCTGGGCGAATTTGTCACTGACACGGTGTTAGTCGCACCGCCATCTGAGATTGGCGCTTCCTAGTTCAGGGATAATCAACCCCATAATGAAGATATTCGCTTCCACTTACTGTAGAATCCTTTATTTTTGCGGCCCCTATTTTTCGTGAATCGGTCCAGAGGACGGATCACGGCCACTAAATTTCGCGAATTCCAGACGCCTGCATTGAGACTCTTCAGGACCGAAAGTTTCGCTTGCGCTTAAATTTCGCGAATTCTTCAATTCGCAAAATTCGCGAAAAATCAAGGGCTCGCGAACATTGAGGGGTTTACAGTATTTAGCATAAAAATGTGAGGTAAGGTTTTAATAGCCCTCGTATTTAATAAAAGGCTCCATGTTTAGACTTCTTTTGATTTACATTTTTATTAACTACATATCAGTCAATATTTTCCACTGCGATGATTTGCAGGTGACTGCATACTATATAAAAACAATAAAGGACAACCTTAAAGTGCAGGAAGTACTTGCGGCAACGTTACACTGGACTAATAAATGGCAAATGAAACTTAATTATAATAAAACAGCAATCGTGTCAATTTCATGTAAAAAATATTCATTTTAATTACAGTCTAGACCGGCAATATGTAAAACAAGTGGAGCAGTACAAGTATTAGGCTTCTCTTAAGTAATAAACTAACCTGGAACCAATATCTAAAAACTACAATAACCAAAGTCAGGGGCACATTGCTTGCATTAAAAAATATAATTTCCTTCGCAGTATTCGGACACTAAACTTACCGCATACAAGAGTTTTGTGAGACCTATGTTGACATATGCCAACCCGGTGTGGGGCCCATTCACGAAATAACGTAGTAATAAACTAGAGAGTCTAAAAACCTACCAACGTCCATCACTTTTTAATATGAGTTTGTCACGTGACACGAGCCGCCGGAGTAACTCGGATTCATTTGGATAAAATTGGGAACACAGTCATGGGGAAAAGATTGAACAGTCACGCCTCTAGCGCCACACTTCAGCTGTAGGGGCAGCGAACCGCATCTTCTTGTTTGTTTTTGGTCTGAGAAATTGAAGGGGACGATTCCAAGGTCGCTCCTCGTGCGACTAAAGCACCGATCAGGGCGAAGCTCTTATACCCAGATTGTGCTAGGTGAGGTTCAATTTCTTTGTTATGCTGCGTTAGTAAACACCGGGCTGTGGGGACAACAAGCTCGACAAAGCACCCTCTATAGTTCGATCCCTTGCCCAATAGTGGATCGTGACCAGTCACTGCGATGAGAGGAACAGCTCAACTTTAAGAATGTGTGGAACTCAGCGCGCGCCCCCCTGTGTTTTGCTAACCCTTCGTTTGACTATGATTAAACATTGGCGGCATATGCAGTTCACCCCAGATCACGTGGCCGCTTGTTCTGACTGCGGGTTGAGGCGGTGAGCGCTGCTCACTTTTTTTTTTCTAATTTTTTCCGCGACTGCCATTGCGTGGAGAAAAAGAAAAGCTAACTCTTCTTTCATGGGTTATAATAGTCACGGAATAATTTAAGGCGCTGTTTACTGAACGTAGAAAAATTACTGCATCGCTCCTTTAAGATTATTCACAGTACGTGCGATCCGCTTTGCTGCCGTCTAACGCACACTGCAGAAATCATCGGCCCCAAGAGCATTGGTGGCACTTTTGTGCCGAGCGGCAATATGACAATCTCTGGCCCTTATCCATTAAGTCAAAATCTAATCAGAGATTAGTTAATAGCCGGATTTAGAAGCTTTTTTTCTAGGTGGCGCAAGCCACCGCCCGATTAGAAGACTCCGCCGCATCCATTCATCCATCCATCTATTAGGCGACTGCACGCTCGATAATCCGATACTGCGCGTCGTATATGGTGACTGAAAGTTTAAGATAATAATGAGATGCTCCCGACATGGCCAGTCACGAGCGTCTCATTATCGCGCCGCAGCCAATGAGCTTGCGGCATTCACCAAAAATAACGACGAAGGACCAATCACGAAGCAAGACGCGCGAGCATAATAATACCACGCCCTGCGTTTTTCAAGCTCTCCGGGACAGGCTTCGTCGATAGGGCCGATAAAGCGGCGCGTTAAAGCGCAACATGAAATCGGTTATCATCTTACGGTGCGTGCACTATATGACGAGATAAACTATAATAAAGAGCGGTGAATGCTTCCTAACCTTGCACTTTTATAGTATGCGTGTTCGTGTTTTTGTACCTGTTCAGAACTTCGATGTGTGGTTCCGTGTGTATATGTCTTCTATAGGCAGTGCATGACAGCTTATGAAAAGCGTTGTCTATTATCGGTTCTCGATTTCTGGTTCGCTCTTCGGCCTTCTTATCGGCACCCAATGTCATTGGCCACGGAGCGATAATTAAGATGCTGAAATGGCCTACGTTTCTTAAGCTATCAGTGTTCTAGACTAACTGCGCTCTGACCTACCGTAAAACGAAGTATAATGTCCAGGTCGGTAGTATGCTCGCAGCAGCATTATACCTCATGTCCTTTGTATAAGAACATCTATCGGGTGTTACGAGCGCAGCACGATGCGTTATTCATTAAGGCTTGGTTGATCTGAGTTTTATGGCACGAGAGCTGCAAGGGCCAATTAAGGCGCCAAGTGCAGGAACATTGCAGGTCGAAGGAATTAACGAGAAAACAGCGCAATGCAAGGTAGCTGTTAATGTAATAATACTATGAAGATGAATCGTGTATCGGAGAAGGACCTGAGTTACTAGTTAGGTAAATTCACTCAGGGACTTTTGAGATTCTATGCGGTCGTAACTCCTGGCAATGATGGTAACACTCGTCATTTTGTTCAGGTACCACATCAACGACGACGGCTCTCGGGACAAAGAGCTCATACCATACCGCTGCACCTACGGTGAGCGTGTGATCTTGTACAAGCGCATCTTGCTCGAAGACCAGCCAAAGGGCGATCGCTGGGATATCCACTGCCCCGGCGACTTTCTGACGGCGACGAAGGCCCAAGATTGGTCCCTTCCAAGCAGCTGCAAAACGCCGCAGGTCCATAAAGACGCCACTGTGATTGTGTAGCCGTAGAAAGCGAAGATACCACTATCTATCATTGGCTTTCAAATAAATAAAAAAAAATATTTAGATGGTTTAAGTTTTGGGTGCGAAAATATATTTATCAGTTTCAAAACAAAAACTTAAGTGGTAAACGACGTGTGGTTTGACCTACCGTAAGACTCCAGACGCACGCAGGACAAAAGGCTTTCGCCTGGTATTACGACGAGTCGGGAAGAGAGACAAACACCGACCAGACACCGGCCAATCCCGGCGTCAGGCGGTGTCACGTGAGCACATGTGACGCCGTGATTGACTGGCGCCTCGTAAACTCGGCCATCTTTCCAAACCTGTCGTGCGACTCGTTGTTCGTTTTCTTTAGAATGTGTCTCGCTTTTAACGATAAAATTACGTCAAGGGGTCTCGTAGAATTTTAATAAAAAAATCATTTTCTTAGTTCCCTATTCAAAATGAATTCTCCGGAAACCTGAAAGTTGCAGCCGAAATAATTTTTTTTATTTAAGTTATGAGGCAAATTTAATGTAAAATTGGTAGATATATAGGTACTTTCCGACCGATGTACTTGTTTTAAATCGGAACGATCTTAATCCCTCATTCAAAACTGTCCAGGCTTCGCACAAAAACAATAATGACCAGAGTATTTTGTGGCTTTGTGTGCTTTATAGTAGTCTTCATGGAACACGCGGAAGTGTTAAGGCGGTGGTCCCACGGCGGCCATCTTAAACAAGCCATTAGTTCAATTACTAGATGGCGGCACTCATCCGTGTGACCAGAAAACTGGCTCGTGGCCGGTGATGTTCCTCCTCTGCTCTTAATTTCCCCCTTTCTGTTGATCGCCCGTGCACGTTCAACGCTGAGCGCGTGCTCTTGCTGACACATGAGCCAGCAAACGTGCCAGTGGAGCTAGCAGTGCCCAGTTTGCCCAGAAGTGAGCCTTCCTTCTTCAAGAAGGACACCCGGTTGCGTACTATTCAAGATCCCTCACGGATTCACAACGCAACTACACACAAATCGAAAAGGAAACTATAGCTATACTTCACGGCTGCACGAAGTTTCATGACTACATCGTAGGAGAGCCCGAAGTCACTGTTGAATTCTATCACAGACCCCTTGAATTTATATCCAACAAGCCCCTTTCTGAGCGCCCCCTCAGACTGCAAAGATTGCGTCTCGTACTATAAAGATACCCGATAACCGTGAAGTTCAAGGCAGAAAAAACTTCGCTGACCGCGGACGCGCTTCCGCGGTTTCCAAGCAAGGTCGTCTTGAAAGACGAAGAGGAGCACATCTACGTGAATGCATTGACGTACCTTGCTCTTTCACACGGCAAGCTGAAAAGCATGTTAGACGCAACAGAAAGGGACCCGGTGGTGCTGCAACTTCGCAACTGCAGCAGCACATCATGGCCGGACTCGAGAGATGATGTACCAGATGGGCTAAAGGTATACTGGAACTATCGCGATGAAATTCACGTAGAAGACGGTCTGGTGTACAGAAGCAACAAGATAATCATCCCGAAAGCCAAAAGAAATGAAGTTTTGAAGCTTTCGAACGCGGCGCACTGTGGGGAAGAAAAAAATGAAATGCAGATGCAAGGGAAGTCATATATCGGCCATACACTACGAGTGACATCACATCACTAGCACGCTCGTGCACACTATGTCAAAAATACAAACCCAGAAACGTGAAGCTGCCAATTCTTAGCCATGACGTACCGACTCTCCCATGGCAAGTGATAGGAGTTGGCCTTTTTCATCATGACGGTCATGAGTTTCTCATGGTGGTCGATTACTACTCATTTTTTTTTAATTAAAGGGGTCATGAAACGATTTTCCTACTTCTTCCTCCTTAGCTTTAATCCTCAACTCAAATGCGAATTGTGAAATCACGTGGTCGTGACATTCCTTCGGCACCGCTGCGATGAATCCTAGCTTCCACCGTACTTTTTATGCACACCATAGAACTTGTCATTCCCAAGTGACAATAGGTTCCGTCAGGGCACTCATTGGCCACGAACGCGAATCCAAATATTCGTCGACGGATTGATTGTTGACGAGCGCATACGTCCGAGTGACGCAGTTCTCGTGTCCAATGCGTGAGCTGGGCTCGGCTGACGTCAGTTTGGCGCCGGTGACGCGCTTTTGGAACCGCGTATGTATCATAGTGAAAAGGCGGAGAGCTTTCGAAGGCAAGAAGGTACAAAATAGTCCGCTATATTTTCAAATGTTCGTACCGAAAAGCTGGCTTTTGACTTTCTAGCCTCTTTCTTTTGGCCAACTAAATGATATGTGATTAGTAAAGTTCCAATTTAAAATCATTCATCCCAACCCAAAATTTGTTTCATGGCCCCTTTAAGGAACTTCGCCGAACAACAGCGGCCACAGTGATCTCTGCCTGTTCCGAAATATTTGCTATTAATGTCCCGTCCGGATGTGCAGCTACAACGGGCCGCCGTTGAGCAGCAAGGCGTTTAAGGACGTTTTGGCGAACCTGCAGATCTAACAGGTATTTTCAAGTCCTTACCATCCTCGTTCCAATGAAATGGCCGAACGCGCAGTACAAGAAGCAAAGAAGCTTTTAATCAAGTGCTCTCGAGACAAAGTAAGCTTCTCTTTAGCACTGCTCGGATGGCGCAACACGCCTAGAGATGCCCACCTCAAGACGCCGGTACAGCGGTTGGGGCATTCACGCGAGGGAGAAATCCCGGGGATTTCTCTCCGGCACGCGCGCATCACGAGATGAAAACGTGAGGCTTTTGCACATCGCAAAGCCTGACGTTTTCGTCGTGGGATGCACGTGCCGTGGAGAAATCCCCGGGATTTCTCCCTCGTGTGAATACCCCTTTAATGGGGCGCCAGACAAGAACACTGTTGTTCTCTTGTCCAGTCGTCTGAAGGGAGTTAGAGACAAGCAAAGGGCTTCGTTAGACCGAACAGCGCGCAAACTTCCCCAATTTGCGGCCAGCTCTCCCCGTAACCGTTTATGGCAGTTTGCTGAGAACCTGGGCTCCCGTGGTCATTGAAGGCTCAACAGATGCACCCAGGTTCTACGTGGTCACCACTGAAGATGGTGAGAGCAAAAGGCGTACGAGGGAGTATCTGCGACTTCCGCAGACTACTACTACAGTTGAAGATGCCCCGTCAGTCCATGGGAACAAAGCAACCGGTGCCTCAAATCAGAAGACACTTCTCGGGTTCGACCAGGTTGGACACGCACCATCGCCTGCAGATGAAGACGTGACCGCCGGAGCTACCTACGTTCAATCTGCTACCCCAGAGCGCAGGAATACACAACTATGGAGGAAACCTCAGCGATACCCAGCCTTGGAACGCAAGCGTCTTGAAGAGAAGGAAGATGTCTTGCGCCAGTCATAATCCCAGCAATCGGCGCTGTATCTCCTAACGCACCTAGTATATTATCCGATGCTCGGCACATAATAGTGTAGTCCATTGCCTGACTCTGACCACACTACAACCAGGAGCATTTCCTTAAATGTCGTTGCTGCGTTAGCGTGTGAAAAGGAGCTATGACACTTCAAAATAGCATTAAAAAGGCTCTTATTGAATATATATGAATAAGATGTGAGTGTGCTTACTAAGAAAACACGTATACACAGAACCGGAAGAGTCCTTCATCTATTCACTAATAAAATAAGAACGCGTCTTGGATGCATTACACGTCTAGAAACTTGGAATGCATAGAGGTATGTCACTGAAAATATCAATCTTTTTTTTTTTTATTCTGCGTTAAGTTTTAAAAAAAAATGCGTATCGCATTCTGCACTAAAAGAGTGATGATAACTCAGCAATTTATTTTCAAAAAATAACGAAATACGTAATGCGCGCACAGACGCGAAATTTGCACCGCAAACAGGAGCATTAGCACAGCTGCCACCAGTATTATGGTTGGGGCCGTGGGACTGCCGCCTTAATCGCTCAAGCGGCAAATGTGGCGGCAAATGTGGCGGCTAATGGAAAAATAATGATAATAAAAATAAACAGAAGAAACCTTTTCGAATTTTAATTGAGTTGAAACGTTGTTCCGTGTTCGTTTCATGTAGGAGTTTCGCTAAAGACGTTTCCTTTGAATATCTTTAAGGGCCATTTGCATCGCGATAATACGAAAGCGTGCACAAGATATTCATGCAGAGGGTTTTTAAGTAGATGGCAAAAATATCGACGCGCACCGGCAGGTTAAAAGAAGACGTCCCTTGCCGCTGAGTTTGCACGAAGCTGTAGATATGGCGGCGTTAATAAGACACTCATTCACTAAGAAACGTCTTTGTAGGATTTCGGTCTAGGTTAATTTGCTTATCTTCTCCTCCGCGGAAAAATTGTACCGAACTGAAAAGTCACTGGGGTGAATTTCTGTTGTTGAATAAACATCCAAGAAAATTTAACTTCTGTTTTAATTAACGTATTTTACAATTGCGAGGGTTAGTGTGCTAGGGTACCTAAAACATTTTCAGACGAGTGTTTTATTGTCAAGAAGGGTCTTTTAAAAGCAAACTACCAATGAAGGAAAAAATGTTGAGATATTGACCTATTCGATCACTCGTCAAGTGATTGTACAGATACGAGCGGAAGCCAGAATCCAGTAGTACAGTGTCGCTAAACTCGTCCAACAAAAATACTGTTTCCGTTATGACGTAGCGGAGGGAGTGGCCGAAACTCGCAGATCCGTTTGTCTTCGTGGCGTTTTTCATTGGAGGGGCGAAAAATCCCTGCCACTCCTTAGGCGCCGAACAAGAGCAGCACGAGAGAGCGCGCGGAGAAAACCGTGGTTCAAGCGTTTGACGTCTTGACAAGGATTACCACCTGCGACCAACATGTTTTATGCTCTGCAAAACGGAGGCTCGGGGTAATTGCATTCTAAAATCAAAAGCTTCGAAGTTGACAGTCTAATATCGTTCTTATTTCCGCCGATACGGCCCGCTTCAGACGGAATAACTTTTAAGCCCCTCGATGTGTTTGCGTTTGTCCAATGCGCTAGCGCACGGCACCCGT